GGTTTATGTTAAAAAATTAATGCAAGCAAATGGAATTAACATGATCTCTGTCTCTTGCCAGCACCTTGCAGCCTTTGGGGTAGGGGTGGGGGATTTTCTTCTTTTTAATAGTTTTTCCAACCCACATCCCCCATCTTTCTACCTGCTTTGATGGGCATGGCAGTGCTCTCTCACAAACTGGATGCCAAGGGAATACAAGCTCCCGCAGCAGGGCTAACTCTACAACACTGTTGTCTCCATTTGATTTTGGGGTGAGCCTGTAGATAGAGCAGTCATTCCTCCCTCCCTCAGCTGAAGATGATACAGAGAGGCCTTCTTAGCAAGTACTTTAAATGTAGGGCTCTAGGGTATGGCTCCAGAAATGAACAGGAAGGGGGACAGAGAGTAACCAAAAAAGAGATCCTTGGCACAGGACAGACATGGAGCTGTCGGAGTGGGTCCAGATGAGGGCTGCAAAAACGATCCGAGGGCTGGAGGCCCTCTCCTGTGACGACAGGCTGAGAGAGTTGGGGTTGTTCAGCTTGGAGAAGGCTGTGGGGAGACCTTATTGCAGCCTTTTGTTGTTTAAAGGGAGCCTATAGAAAAGATGGGGACAGCCATTTTAGCAGGGCCTGTAGCGACAGGACAAGGGGTAACAGTTTTAAACTAGAAGAGGGGAGATTTAGGCTGGATCTAAGGAAGAAATTCTTTACAATGAGGGTGGTGAAACACTGGCACGGGTTGCCCAGAGAAGTGGTGGAGGCCCCATCCCTGGAAACATTCAAGGTCAGGTTGGATGGGGCTGTGAGCAACCTGACCTCATTGGAGATGTCCCTGCTCACTGCAGGGGGGTTGGACTGGGTGACCTTTAATGGTCCCTTCCAACCCAAACCATTTGATGATTCTATAAGTAGCAGAGATGATTGGCGAGGTGCTGTAAAGTAACCAGGTGGTACAGGGAGGATGGAAGAGTTTCTAGATACATAAAGTTCTGTGGCAGAACTTGAAAAAGGAAATGGGAAACTGCACCAATGTACTTCACTTTAAATATGCACACATCCCATCTGAAATAATCTTTTAATGAAAAACACTGGAATTGGGGAATTGCAGAGGAATGGTTATGTTTTAAAGATCAGGGCAAACAGCCACCATCTGGAGGGAAGAGCCTGGATTGAATCACAACCAGGCATCTGGAAATTCCTGGCATTTCGTTCCTTCTGTGTCATTAAGTGGCCAAGGATCTGTCTCTCTCTTTTAACTCTGGGTGTTAATTTGGGTTTTATTTTATTCCAAAGTAATGGTATGTTAACATTTATGCTACAATAGATCCCTACTGAAGTTTGTCCAGAACTGCAAAAGCTGAGGTATTTATTTGCCTTAAAGGAAGGTAGAAAACCACTGTATTTTTAAGGCTCTGGAAGGGGACTCAGCGTCTTGTTCTTCCCCAGATCCTTGCGTGGCCTCAGTCGAATCTCTGGTTTCCTGAAGCCCTGGTACCTAGGCTGTAAGACGGGCATGAAAATGAGCAAGGTAGACAGAGAGGGAGGAAATTATCTATTAATACTCAAGAACGTGTTTGGATCTTTAGGCTCTAGTAACTCGTTGTTAACGCTGGTGCTGAGGAGCCAGCAGCGATGGTTAGAATTGCTTCAGAGGTCTCTGGTCAGCCGGGGTCAGATCAACCTCTTGCAACACGGTGAGAAGAAGTGGGTGTTTTGTTATCCTTAATATTTAGCCATCAGAACACCTTTTCTGAAAACTTGCTCCTGAAAAAGAAAGGTCCCTCTTTAATTTTCAGGGTTGGGAAAGGAGTGGTAGCAGGATACCTCAGCTGCAGCCACTGCAGCTCAGCAGGTTGGTTCTGGTTTTGTCCCCTAGCTTTCAAGGCAGCCGTCTTGATCCAACAGTGGTATCGGCGCTACGTTGCTCGGCTGGAAATGCGCCGACGTTGCACCTGGAGAATCTTTCAATCCATTGAGTACGCTTGTGAACAGGACCAGATCAAGGTAAAGTGCCAAGGAAAAGAGTATGTAGGGAAGTTAAAGGTGTCCCTGCTCACTGCAGGGGGGTTGGACTAGATGACCTCTAAAGGTCCCTTCCAACCCCAAACATTCTATGATTCTATGAAAATACATAGGAAGGTGGTTTCTGTGCCACAGACTCACTTGTTTCTGGCTCCTGGCTGGTAACCCTGCACAGTGCTTCACTGGGTCAAGGACTGGGTTTCCTGCCCCTTTTTAGCCTATTGATTTTCTGCT